CAACTGGCTTTCGAGCAAGGGAACCTTTACCTTTACACCCCTCTTTAAGTTACAAGATTGGACTAGCCGGGGGCCTTCCGGGTCAGGGCTGTCTCTGTCTCTTAAAAGGTTTCCCTTGCTCGAAAAAGCTAGTTGAATCCGACTCTAGGGGGCGCCGCTCATCTCCGTTCCCAAGCCGAAGAGCCAGCACTGTCCGAAGACTTCTCTGTGGCCGTGACTAGACGCCGAGGCGCACGGAACGCTGTGATCTTCCCGCCGAAGCGGTACATATTTATCGACTTGCAGTTTCTTGCTTTCGAACTGCTAGGCTGGCAGGACCTGGGACCGGAGACGGGAGCTCACTCCGTCACGTGGCACTCGGGTCTCCAACTGCCAAACTACAGACCTTCCGGGCTGCCGCTTAGCCCCTTAACCTCTGAGCCACCGAGCACCGAATAATCACAGCCGGCCATTCCCAGGACTGGGCGGGAGCTCAGTTTAAACTGTTAGCTCTTTCCTCTTTCCTCTGCCATCCTGGCAGATGCCTCCACCCCACATATAGCTATCAGCCCCCCCCCCCCCACGCGTCGAACCCAATCCAGCCCAGGACCTCCCGCGCTCTCCGTTAATCCCACATGAGCGCCACGCTGGAAAAAAGAGCCAAAGATTCTTCTCTTGGCCTAGCAGACACTTACCGACCATTCCGGATGAAGGAGAACGTCTGTGAGTTCGATGACCAGGGTGTAAGGGGGCTGATAGTAGGGCTCCTTCAGGGGGTCGGGGAGCAGCTTCGGACTGGTGGGCTCTATGATCATCTGCAAAATAAAGGCAGCCACGCTGCAACCTCCGAAGACAGGGGCACGGGGCACCGCACACGAGGAGGCCGCTTCATTAGGCTCAGGAGCAATGCTCCCTCTAAGCTGTGGAGTCCTGTGAGCAAAAATCCTACTTTGTGAGCTGCTGGCACTAAAGTTGTCAGCGAGCGATTTGGCTGCTGCATCAATTAGTTTGCTCTGGAGCCCTCCTCCCTGAGCTAGGACAAAAATGCGCGAGCCGGAGGCTAAAAAACTGTGGGCTAGCTCACACTAACTCAGCTTAGAGGGAACACTGCCTGTGGGGTAGGTGGGGCTGACAGAGCTCTCTTGAGGACTGCCCTTGAGAGAACAGCTCTGAGATAACTTGTGACTGACCCAAGGTCACACCGGCGGCCGCACGTGGAGGAGTGGGGGAATCAAACCCGGTTCTCCCAGATTAGAGTCTGCGCTCTTAACCACCACACCAAACTTGACTACAGAGGTCTGTTCTCCTGGAGAAAAGGGATGCTTTGCAGGGTGGGCTCGATGTACCCCAACGAGGTCCCTGCCCTCCCCGGACTCCAACCCCAAATCTCCAGGAGTCTTCCAACAGAGAGCTGGCAACCCGCCCTATCCCCTGCTGGTAGACCTGGCAACCCTAGGCTCCACAGAAATGTCTGTTCGCCTGAAGCTGGGATATACTTTATTACCGTAGGTTTTTTTAAAAAAACAAACAAACCAAAGAAGCCCCGAAACAGTAAAACAGCCTGGGAGGTTTCTTTTGCCAACAGCCCCCCCCCCCCAAAAAAAACTTTCCAAAGTTCGCTTTCGGCCAGCCCGCTCTCCGTCCAGCAGCTGCCGGAGGAGGGGGGACAGCGTCTCTTGAGAATGGACCTCTCCCCCTCCCCAGTGGATGATGCCTCCCTT